ACCCTTATAGTATTATTAATAATAAAGAGAAAGCATTTATATCCTTAAATAGATTTTGAAAAAGGGTTAATAATATTGAAATAGATTAATTCTAATCTCTTGAATTTTCGTATACTTAATTGACTTGGAATTCTGTTAATTATCTTTATAAGAATATATACTTTATAGATATTAAGAATTGAAGGAACCTTAATAAATCTCTAAAATATAATAACTTTATATAGATTTCTAATTTTATTAGAGCTAAGATGATTAAAGTATTTATATTAAATAAGGTATTTTTCCTTCATTATAATTAATTCTTCAACTTTCCCTTTTATACCATTAATAATCTTTATAATATAAAGAATACGAAATCTTTGTATTTTAATTTCATATACGAAATGATATATATTCCATTTTTCATTTTAGCTTTGATGATTTTATTATTCTTATTATTTTCTAGTGTAAAATACATTTCCTTAAGATTAAATATACTCTTAAACCCTACCTTACAAATTCTCTTAATTGAAAATAAATTAACCCCCAATCCAGGTACATATAACATTCTAATTAATAATATCCTTATTTTATTCTTGCACATCATATTTATTATCCCTTATTTATTCGAGTATATAGCTTTCTTACCAACTATTATTCTTTATTATAGAGTATAAGTTAGACTTTTGAAGAGAGAATATTAATCAAATATATGTAAGGTAGCATTAATATCAATATATTATTACAATAAGAATGCTTTACTAATACTTTTTTTAATAAAATGATAATACTTGAAATCAAATTTATTATTAATAATATTTTCAATAACATTGAAGCTTGATTTAGTAATATAAGCCTTATACTTCCTATACTCTTTATCTCTTTATAATAAAAAGGTGGATTGTTTTCTCTTTTGTTTATACTTTAAATCAGATTTCAAGAGATACTTAACATAACAAAGCTGAAAGCATTTTAAAACTGAATGATTAGGTTTGTTATAGAGTTTATAAGTGATAATGAATATATCGGCCTCTAAGCTTATATTAGCCTTATACTAATAATAAAATAGAATATATTTCTTTCTTTTTATAAAATGTACTGAATCTTTAAAGTTTTGTATTTTTACCTTTTTAACCTATAGATACTTGATTTTATTATTAATATTTAAAGTAAAATTGATAATATAGATTATATCAATAATGACTTTGTATTTATCAGGAAGAAATAAGGTCAGGCTTTAAAAGAATGATTTATTTGTATATAAAGTATTAACTAAAGTATTTATAAATAAGAGCTTTTATTGAAGATCTTTAAGCTTATTCTAAATATTTATAATAATTATATTAAAAATATTGTTAGATTAGAAAGAGAAGGTTTTGATCTTAAAGAGGTATTTGTTTATTATAATATTATCAATTCTGGAATATTTTATTGTTAAATAATCCCAAAGTTTTTTTATTATATTATATTCTTTTATTAAAGCTTTATTATTATTAAATAATAAGTAACAGATGTAAGATAATATATTAGCATTGTTCTTGAGAAAGGTAGCCTTTTTATTAATATTGAGTCAAATCTTTATAATAGCACTGCCATTGTCGCTAAAGACTTAAAGTTTTTCGAAATTCTGAATTAAATTATTGACTACTATAATCTATACATATTTATACAATATCTTTTTATATATATAAAACCAATCTTTTCCTTAAAGTTGAATTCTTATTTAATAAGTCCAATATTTGTAATTCTCTTAAATAAAAGGAGGGATACACTTAAAATAATTTCTAAATCTAGTATCTTTATTTATTTTAAGATTCTATAAATAGAAAACTTGTATTAATAATTTAAGTATATTTAATAATAAAATGAAAAAATAGAATAGGAATTATTTAAATTATATTATTCTGATTTGAATGTATTAGTATTTGAAAAGAGAAATTCTTTTTAAAACGGAATAATTGAAAATAATAATTTTTGAAGTAATATCGAATATTATATAATAGGTTATACTCTTCAATATTAAGCCAGAATAAATAATCTTTTTAATAATAACTTACAATTTTTTTATTTAAAAAAAAGATATAATATAAATAATTACTTTACTATTATTGCTCAGCAATCTATTTGCTATACATACTTTATATATTGACATTATATTACATAAAAGCTTTTTATCGTCAATCTCTATTTTAACAATATAAGCTATTTAAAAAGCTTTCAATCTTAGTCTTATTGTTACGGGAGCTGCCTCTAGGGTCACGTGGAAGTGTCTAGAGATCTCTCGAGGTGGTTTAGACTAGACTTCAAGTAGGAATTCAATAAGGTTGGTAACTGGTTGCAATTCTCGTAACTATAGTAATGAAACTAATGATTGTTCTTGAGCACGAAGCTCTACATTATAATGAAACTCATTCCTTTATATAGACCTTCCTGCTCTACGAAACCCATGGTTCTGTTCTACTTGGATCCCTTGGATCCTAAGCTCCAAAGGCTCCTGGCTCCTTGGATCCTAAGCTCCAAAGGCTCCAACGTCCTGTCACATGACACTCGTCACGTGATCCAATGTTTACCCGTCGTAACAATGAGCCACTCAGTGTTAAACTATGTTATAAGTGAATTATATTGTTAATTGAATTACTTAATTTTTATATAAAATTCGTTTGTATGTAATCGTATACTTTCTTTATTAGTCAATAGAATTATTCGAAAATCTTTTAAGTTATATAAAATATAATCTTTTAATTATTTAAAAAGTCTAATTTTTATTTTAAAATTCCAAGTATTATTGAAGTTGTTAAAGAAAAACAGTTTTTGTAATATAAAGTGTGACAATTTCGAGCTAACATGAATTTTTTAGAACAAAATCTAAATATTATAAATATCTCATTTTTATTATTATTTTTAATGATTTTTTCTTCTAAAAATAATAATTAGTTATTAAAATAAGAATATTAAAAATGACTAATTTTAATATATTTTTAAGTAATCTATTTAATGATATGTTCCACTCATATATGAACTACGTTATAGGTAGTATTAAACTTATAACATGGTTTATTAGTGAGTAGGTCATATTAATGAATAGGTTAGTTTTATTTCAATTTACATTCTTCTTTTTCAATATATATTTTATTAATAATTTATAATGAATTCAAATAATTAAGAAGCTTATATACTCCTTATTATTGAAGCTATTTAGAAAGATAAAAAAATAAGTATTCGAAAAGCTGTAAAGATATATAATATCCTGAATATAATATTATAGTATAGAATTAAAGATTTTACTCTTTGCTTTAAATATCGATCTAAATCTTATAATCTTTCAGAATTAAAAGAGAATATCATTTTTGAATATATAATCGATATAGATTCGAAAGGTTTTTTATTTAAATTTAAGAATATAGAAGATATAATAAATTATATTTTCGAATTAAAAGGTACGAAATACATTAGAAAGCTTTAAACACATCGATTTATAAAGTATCGAATCGAATTAAAAATATATTTTAATCATATTTATAACTTTCAAAAAGTTCTTTACAAGAATTCTAAACTTTTTAAAAAGTAGTTTCAATTAATTACAAATATATAAGCGAAATATAACATGTTGAATAAAGATTTCTATAATTTCAATGAAACAGGCTTTATGATGAGAATTATATATGTAATAATAATAATAATTAATATTAAACAAAATAATAAAAATAAGATAATACAATTAGGCAATCGAGAATGGGCTATAGTAATAATATATGAAAATAAAGAGGGTGAAATTATTCCCTTATTTCTAGTAGTTTAAGAACAAGTTCATCTTTTCAATTAATATATTAAAATAAATCTTCCTATAAAATAAACTATTAAACCTATATCTAATAAATAAACAAATAATGAAACAGATTTAAAATAATTGAAATACTTTAATAAGTATATTAAGAATCAAAAAAAGAACAAATATTGAATATTAATACTGAATGAATATAAAAATTATGAATCAATAATTTTTCAAATATATTATATATTTATATTTATTATTTTATTCAAGTTATTTAATTCAATTATTTGATATTGATTGTTTTAATAATCTGAAATTTTTATATGATAATCAAATTAATAAATTTATTAAGGTATATATTAATTATATTTCAAAGATTAAATTCTTTATAGCTTTTAAAGTTATATATAAGGAATTAATTACTTTTCAGAATATGAAATTAGAATTTCAAGAAATAGATTTAATTCTATTTAATTCTGAAGTTATATTCTTAAAATTAGATATTCGAATTCGTACATTTACCCTCCTCTTTTTCAATCTAAATCAATGAATCTTTCAAACTCCTTATAACCCAATTAAAGCTCTTTTTTAATTAATATTAATTAAATCTCAAATAATTTATTATCAAACAAGCTTTTTTATACTTATATTTAAAACTATATTAATTTTAGTTAAAAATATAAAAAGATTAGCTTATAAAAATATACTTTTAAATATAAAGAATTATATACTTTAAATAGTAAATAAAGCATTAAGCAAATATTAATATATATATAAAATCTAATTATATTAAGGAGGAATACTTATTAAACAAAAAACTCTTGATATATTATCTCAACAAAAGATTGATATTCAAATTCAATATAATAAGTATCAAAAAGAGAATAAATTCAATAAAAAAGCATCTTTTATTCAATATTATAGTAAATATAAAAAGACAAATCACAATACAAAAATCTATCAAAATAATATAATAGATTCTAGATTATTAGAATCTTTATAATTTTAATTAATTAATTTGGTTGTTGTTGAATAATATAATTTTGAAAGTGTAAATTGAAATGAAAGTGACTTATTCACTAATATAACTCATTCACTAATAAACCACGTTATTATAGATTTATATTGTGAAATCAATTGTTCGAAAGATTTAAGATATAGGATAGCATAGGATAGTATGAGTATTAGAATAATTATCCATCATTTCAACCAGTTCAATTCACTCAATATAAGTTGCGCATGTACTAATCGCTTTGAACGAATTTTATTTATTCATCTAAAGTCGCTTTAAGGGTCTCATCCCTTTGCTAAATCACTCGATATAAGTCGGCGTTTTACGCTGCTCGACATAGCGATTCGCTTCCATGTCACTTGAAAACGACGCTCGCATTCGTATTGTACAGTATGCTCATTGAGCCTGCGCCGTATTTATTACAACTTCTCTAGGATTCCGCTCTCCATAATCCGAAAGAACCAGGGCAATTCTTCCACATCTTAATCGTACCGTCTTCACTACCTGTAGCATACAATTTTCCGTCGGGAGAAAAGCTGATACTCCAGATCGGTCCATGATGACCTTTGTGAACATCTAAAATTTGTTAGTAAGATTATGCTTGATTGATGGTAATGGAACATACCAAGTTCTTGATCAGAATCGAAATCATAGACCTTCGCCCATGTATCCTTAATTCCACCAGTAATATATTTTCTCTGAAGTGGATGAATAGCTACACTAGCAACCTCATAATTCAAGACAACCTTCTTGACGAGTGTGTTTGCAGCTGGTCCACCATAGAAATATAAAGTTTTTCCTGCAGCAATTGACAGAATAGGTAATCCTTCACCAATATCTCCTGGTCCAGAGGCAATGTTGCTAAATTCGCATGAACCAATATCGCCGTCAACTTTTTGTTCTTGAACAACAGATTGCGAGCGTAAATCCCACCATCTTATCACTTTATCATCTGCTGCCGTAACAATGATATTTGGGTCCCGGGTCCAAACGACAGCCTTGATTGTTCCTTTGTGAACACCCGGTCCAATCTCGAAGCCATCATCTTGGGAAATATTTGTAGTGTCACTTCCATTGCCATTAGAACTTGTGCCATTTGCACCCGTAGAATTGAGTTTTGTGAGGTCGAAAATGAAAAGTTTCTTATCAGTTCCTCCTGTCGCAAGAGTGGTACCGGAATCCGGAGGAAATGCGACAGCTCGAACGACATGCTGATGCTGGATAGTATAAAGAGTTTCTCCGGTATATGTATCCCAAACTTTTCTGTGCATTTATTAGTGATGGTCACCCAATATTGGCGCAAATGACGTACGCAGTGAAATCTGCAGAAGCAGTCGCAGCATATTTGGCATCCGGAGAAAGTCTAGCTTGATAAACAGCGCCTTTGTGCCCAAAAAAAGTACCAATCCTAAATTCATCAATTAACATGTTCCGGTAACAAGAATTCGAGCTGTAACATACCAATCGCCATTGATACCACTTCTCAACATAGGGTTGTTATCTGGCGTATTGAATTAGACATTTCCATATTTGATAGAATTCAGACAATCCGATATGCCATACCTTTACATGCTGATATCATGTAATACTCATCATCCTTTCCGTCCACAAATCCACAGAAGCTGATATGCGTAACAGGTCTTGAGTGACCATGGCATGTCAAAGGAACGTATTGCTTAGTGTTCTCTGGCCCCGCCATGGTTGTATGTTTGGATTGAAGTATAGAATGTTTGACTTTGTATCAAAAATTGGAAACTGTATTGTATGTTATGATCGTTTGCAAGAGAAAGAAGTTCGATACTTGTAGTCGCGGGTTGATGTATATTTTGCGGCAAAAGAGTGGGAGTGACCGCACTATGATGGTGGTAGGGTGCTCTAATATATGTAGAAGAGAGAGAGAGTTATTCAAGAAGATTCGTTAAACGTCGTTAAATTCGTAAGATGTTGGTTGATTAAGAGGTAGAATGGATAGACGAAGTTGCCTTGAACGGAATTGAGATAGATGCTTGACAACTTCCTCAATATGAAAAGGAAAGGGGAAAGAAGCCAAAAGAACTCCGTTGGGGGGATATTGTGAATTTGTTTCATTGAGGTCAAGAATTAAGCTACCATACCTTAATTACACTAATATCTTAGGCTCTGTCATGAAACCGCACGGAGAGAGTTAATCCGAGGCCGGGTGACTAATCAACACGCTTTTCACTCTATGGGAGCTGGGGAAGTGGGAGTTGTAGTGGATGGATATGGATATGGATATGGATGTGAATACAGTAGTTGTTGATATGATTGATTGGTGTTGTTTATTAGTGACTGACTTATTATTAGTAGGGGATGACAGAATCAACTAATTACTGAGGTACTCTGTAGCAATCCCTAGATAGGCAATCTGATTACAGGGTGAAGGTGCATGCCGTTCATAGCTGTTCGTGCTCGTATAGTGATAGTAGTAGGTACTTCGTACCAATGCTATGACCCGTGTGCCCATATATTGCTTAGGTACGTACCTACTTATTATTAGAGAGGGGCAACTTTAAGGAAGCTTATAGTCAAACATGGAATTGTAACTATAACTAATCAACTTCCATTATTCCTCAAACATAACAACAACCTTTCATACTGAAGACATAATTCTGTCAATATCTGGAATCTCAAGACATAATTGCATCAAAGTCAACATGGCAGAATACAAATTATCAGCATCTTTGGCTGGTCATGAAGACGATGTAAGTTGATGATACCAGACTCCACTCTCCAACAAGGTCAACCTGGATGTTGGTGACGACTACATATACTAATAACATGTTGTTCCAACATAGGTTCGAGCTGTAGCTTTCCCATCTGCGAAAGCTGTAGTTTCAGCGTCGAGAGATGGAACAGTGCGACTATGGAAACAACTCTCAGATAACCCACCAATATTCGATGCCACCATTTCCTCTCATGCAACAGCTTTCGTAAATACAGTCGCATATCTACCGCCGAGCTCTCAATTTCCAGATGGTTTAGTTATCTCGGGTGGAAAAGACACAGTTATTGAAGTTCGACAACCCTCGAAAGGACCAGAAGAAAATGCGGAAGCGCTACTCATAGGACACAGTCATAACATATGTGCTTTGGATGTCGATCCAGCGGGACGATTTATAATCAGTGGAAGTTGGGATGCGGAAGCGAGAATCTGGCCATTAGGAAAATGGGAATGTGAATCGGTTCTCAGAGGACATGAGGGTAGCGTTTGGGCAGTTCTTGCTATAGATTCGGAAACTGTCATCACTGCTTGTGCGGACAAACTCATTAGAGTATTTAACACCAGTGGCAAATTGCTGCGGACTATTCGAGGTAGTGCAGATGTTGTTCGGGCTCTCTGCAAGCTACCCAAAGGTCATCCATCCGGGGCAGATTTCGCATCGGCAGGTAATGATGGCATAATCAGATTATGGACCCTCTCTGGCAAGCAGGTGGCAGAATTACATGGACACGAGAACTTCATTTATTCTATTGCCTCTACACCTTCCGGAGAAATCATCAGTTCTGGTGAAGATCGAACCTTGAGAATATGGAAAGACAGCCGATGTATTCAAACAATCACACACCCCGCGATTTCGGTCTGGGGTGTGGCTGTTTGCGGGGAAAATGGAGATATTGTTTCGGGTGCAAGTGATAGAGTGGTACGAGTCTTCACGAGAAATTCGGAACGTCTCGCAGATGCAGAGACAACAACATTGTTTGAAGACTCGGTCAAGGAATCATCTATACCTCAACAATCGTTACCTGAAGTTAATAAGGAGAAGCTCCCTGGACCAGAATTCCTTACACAAAAGAGTGGCACTAAGGAAGGACAAGTTCAAATGATCCGTGAATTGAATGGAGCTGTTACTGCACATACTTGGTCTAGTGGTAAGTCATTAAAATTGTTTAATGTTGGGTATTGAGCTAATTATTATTTAGCACAAGGCCAATGGATAAATGTAGGTACCGTTGTTGATGCTGTTGGAAGCAGTGGAAAAAAAGTCGAATATCAGGGAAAGGAGTATGATTTCGTCTTCGATGTTGATATTGAAGATGGCAAACCTCCCCTCAAACTTCCTTACAACTTATCTCAAAACCCTTATGAAGCTGCTACAAAATTCATTGCAAATAATGAACTTCCAGTAACCTACTTGGAGCAAGTAGCCAATTTTATCACAACCAACACTCAAGGAGCTACGATTGGCCAAACTCAAGAAAGTTCTGGACCAGATGCATGGGGTAGCGATCAAAGATATCGACCAGGCGAGGGAGAATCCTCGGCCCCTGCAAATATTCCACCACCACCTAAGGTTCTTCCACAAAAGGAGTATCTCACGATTATCGTGGCTTCAGTACCAAAGATGCAAAAGAAGATTGAAGAAGTCAACAAAGCATTAATTAACGATGGTCAAAAGGGTGTATCCTTAAATCCTGAGGAGCTTGAAGTTCTTCAAACCCTCCGTAAACATCTCGAATCTACCGGCGCCACAAAGACTTCTCAATCTGTTAATGGAGGTCTTGACCTAGCCATTAAACTCTCAACTCATTGGCCCTACAAAGACCGACTCGCTGGACTCGATCTTCTTCGTCTCCTGGCTATTACACCTGAAACTGCAACTTTCCGTAGCAACGGAGGCTTGTCCATTATTGATGTTTTTTCACAGGCTGCTTTGGAATCTTCACCTCCTTCCGAAAATCACGTCATGATGGCCGTTCGTGGTTTCGCCAATCTTTTTGATTCCACCGAAGGTCGTCAATTAGCCACTGAAAATTTTGATAAAGTTCACGACTTGATCAAGACAGCTGTCAAAACTTCTACAAATAGAAATTTATTGGTTGCTGCTACGACTGTTCATATTAACTACGCGGTTCGATTCACAGAAACAGACCCAGATTTCGAACAGGTTCTTGCGGTTTTAGAGACAGTCACGAGTGTTCTAAAAACTCAAGTTGATAGTGAGGTGATTTATAGAGGATTAGTTGCCCTAGGTACTCTATTGACTGTGGGTGATGAAATTAGAGAGGCTGGAAAAGATGTTTATGGCGTTTTGACCGCGGTGGATGGCAGTGTTAAGAAGGCAGCTGATCCACGGGTAAAGAATGTTGGGAAGGAGATTAGAGGGTTACTTGCATAGTGGATAGATGGTGATATATCGGATGGGAGGGAGGGAAGAATGGTGCAGGAACGAAAATAATGAATACATGAACGAAATGAAATAAAGAATTTTAAAGCATAGCTGGGGGACGATTTTTAGTTTCTTCTTTAAAGCTTCATCGCTTTGAGCATGCCGATCACATACAGCGCTTGTGTTAGATAGTATATTATGAATGCATATTCTTTTAATGCGGAATAGATGATATTTTTAGGGGGGGGGGGATTCTTTTCGAGAGAAGAAAAAATCTGGAAATTGCATAGCTAGGTTGGCTATGTATTTTTGCTAGTTTCTCTCCCTCATGGACATTGGACTGTATTGGGTGAATGAGTGATGTTCGACTATTTAGGGTTGAGCTTGGGTGCGAGTCTTGATGATACTGATATGATATACTACAGAGACGAATACTAGATGATGATATCAGAATGTGTTTATTGATCTTTTTTCCTTTTTTCCTTTTTTCCTTTTTTCCTTTTTTCCTTTTTTCCTTTTTTCCTTTTTTCCTTTTTTCCTTTTTCCTTTTTATCTTTCTTTCTTGCTATCTTCCTTTCTATCTTCCTTCCTTCCTTCTGCACGCTCGCTCGCTCTTTTCGTATCTAGATTGAGAAGTCTGGGAAGTCTGAGAAGTCTGAGAATACCACATACTCTTGTTTTCCTATATACAGTCAGTCACTATGTACAGATAATAGCCGATCGTCTAAATGACACCAAAATCCATCCTTAAAACGAATGAATTTAAATATAATTAATATCTGAATTTGTTGGAAGTTGTGGCACGTGCGCTTAGCTACTATATATATATCACTTCCATTTTATAGTTAGATTTTACTTTAATATAATTAATCTATATAGTCACTTTTATAACATGGTTTATCAGTGAATAAATCATATTAGTGGATGGGTCATTCATTTTACATACAAAATTCATCTATACGTAACCATGCACTTTCTTTATTTGATAATATAATTTGAAAAAATCTGAAAATATTGAAATTCAATTATATAAATATTATAAAAATTTAATCATTTATTAAAAATTTGAATTATTATAACGTAACGTATGGGGAACTCGGACACTTTTAGCCCATCACCAACTTGAAACCGCAATAACTTTTATTATGCATACCCAATCACCTTCTACATCTGCTCAAATTGAAGAGAAGCTTCAAAAGGCTATAATTTCACTTCAATTGAAAGAATTTAAATCAATTAGAAAGGCTGCAGAGCATTTTGAAGTCCCTAAGTCTACCCTAGCTGATAGGCTGGCTGGGAAGAAAACACGTTCCCAAACCCACGAAATGGCTCAAATTCTTTCAAACGCAGAAGAAAATACTCTTGTACGATGGATTTCACGACTTACCATCACTGGATTCCCTGCTACACCTATGTTGGTGAAGGAAATGGCCGACGAAATTCGTCTTCGACGCGTTCGGGTCGCGTCATCTCGAAATCCTACCTCGACAGAAATTCCACCTATAGGCCACGAATGGATCTATAGATTCCAAAAACGACATCCAGAACTTAAAACATGCTATTCACGTCAATTAGAGTCTAATCGGGCTAAAGAAGCAACTCCGGAGAATATTCAGGCTTGGTTTGACGCGTTTCGCACGCGTCTCATTGAGCGAAAGTATGAATTAGATGATATGTATAATATGGATGAAACCGGATTTGGAGTTGGAAGTACTCAAAGTACGCGCATTATAGTCGATTCTACTCAGAAATCGAATTGGAAAGTTACAGCTGGCAAGCAAGAATGGATAACTGCATTTGAATGTGTCAATGCAGCTGGAAATGCTCTATCACCTATGGTCATTTTCAAGGCTCAGAATACGAATTCTGCATGGATTCCAAAGGACACACCTCAAAGCTGGCAGTTCTCTACTAGTACAAATGGATGGACCTCAAATAGCCATGGATTAGAATGGTTAAAAAGGGTTTTCGAACCAGAATCCAAGAAAGTGTCAGGTGACCGACCTCGACTTTTGATCATGGATGGCCATTCAAGCCATATTACAGGTAGCTTTATTGCTTTCTGTATAGATAATGATATTGATTTACTTATATTACCTCCTCATTGCTCTCACTTGCTTCAGCCACTTGATATTGCGGTGTATGGGCCAATGAAACGATATCATGCTTTAGAGGTCGATCGATATTCTCGAGCTGGTGTAAAGCGAATCCAAAGAGCTGAATGGGTAGAACTCTTTCAAAATATTAGAAAAAAAGCATTGAATTCTTCTAATATTAAAGCTGGCTGGAGAGGAGCTGGTTTAGTACCTTTTGCCCCACGAAAAGTACTCGATTCATTACCATTTAACTCCTCCCAGCAACCTTCTACTCCACAAATGAGAACCCCCAATCAAGACCTAGACTTGTCTATACTCAGGAGTTCTCCTCCAGATGGAACAGAACTAAGGCAAGCAAATCAGATCTTTAATACAGCTCTAGCAAGCAGTGGTTCTCCTGCATCGCCAACTCGTCGATATGCCAAGAGAATGACTAGGCTTGTAGAATCTCAAAATGCTGAGATAGCCCTACTTCGGAAACAGCTCTCTGATGCTCAGGAGGTAATTGAGACTCGAAAGAAAAGAACTAAAGGCAAAAGAGTCAAATTACAAGGTCAATTTGTCTTTAGTACTAAGGAAGTATTGAAAATGGTACGTGAGGCGGAGGAAAAACCGAAGGAGAAAAAGCCACGAGGACGGCCACGCAAACGCCCAATTGAAGAATCAGAAGAAGAGATTGAAGAAGAAGAGCTAGAGAATAGTTCAAGTGATTCGGAATTGGAATTGGAGGATTGTGTGGCTCGTAGAACAAGATCGCGTGTAGAATAATTGAAAAAGTGTCCGAGTTCCCCATATGTCCGAGTTCCCCATACGTTACGTTATAAGAATCTTTATTATATTAAAGAAACTTTTATTTATTTTTATATAGTTTATTAAAATATTGATTTTTTAAATAATTATATTATTAGGTTTTAATATATTTTATATAAAGTAGGTTACGTAAGCTTGCTGCACAGCGAAGCATGCTAAGACCGAATAAGACACCTTGAGCCTCTACCAGGATAAATATTATCTTCAACACCCTTGTAACACATTAACATTGTCCTGAGCATGAAACACACCGGGCGCTCCCCTTTAAAGTTTCGACCGGGCAACGTTCGGTATCCGTTCGTTCACAACGGGCAACCCCGAAAGGGAGCTATGGTCCCCGAATAAAATGTTGTACCTGTCTTTTATAGTTTATTCTTCGGTCGCCGTCATTAATTCATTAGTAGATAGCTCCACCACTTATATGAATTCGCGCGTGACTGTTGAATATTCACACGTCCTTGAAATTCTGTTTCCAAAACACACTGACATTAGCGTCTGGGTCAAAAATGGCCTCTGGCGACCTAAAAATGTTAACCTCTGGCTCGCCATTGGTCAATGGCGCGATACTTCTCGTTATCATCCTATTCACTGGCTTTGTACTTACCCGTCCAAAGAAACTGGACTTGCCAATCGTTGGATCATTCCGCGCAGATCAGAGACAAGCATTGGTCGAAGGAACACGGAAGGTAAGTAGGAAGTATGTTCATCACTAGCTAGTACTGATGTTAAAGCAGTACCCGGACCGCCCGTTCTTAGTCCCTATCGTACCACCCCTGGTTATACTCCCTATTTCAGTGATCGACGAAGTCCGAAACTTACCAGAGAACAAAACTTCGTTCATACAGGATATTCAGCGGTCTTTCACAGCCAAGCACACAGGCATAGGAAAAGAGGCAGGACCAGAGCTCATACAAGCACTCAAGCTAGATCTCACCAAACACCTTGCCAGCACAATCGATGATATGCAAGATGAGATCGGCTATGGATTGGATAAAGAACTCGGATCATGCAAGGACTGGACATCGATTCCCATGTATCCCAAGGTGACTCGTTTGGTTGGGTTGTTAAGCGGTCGTGTTTTTGTTGGGCTACCTCTGAGTCGGAATGAGGAATGGCTGAAGTCTTCGATTGAGTATGCATTGTTGTGCATGGGAGCCCGAGATGCTATTAATGCATATCCAGAATTCATTCGAACTATTGTGGCTCCTTTTCTCAAGGAAGTGCAAATTCTGAAATACGTCAGGAACCGGGGAGTGGAACTGGTGAAGCCGCTACTCGCCGCTGGGCAAGAGAATATGATCACATGGATTCAAAATCGCATTAAAAAGAAAGATCCTGAAAAGATTGCAAATAACCAGATGAGCCTCTCGTTCGCCGCTGTTCATACGACATCCATGGCAATTACAGCAGCGATCTATGATCTGTGCGCATATCCAGAATACATTGAGATATTGCGGGAGGAGATTCAGCAGATTGATGGTGTCACGAAAACGAACTTGGCCAAGCTCTGGAAACTCGATAGCTTCTTGAAAGAGAGTCAGAGATTGACTCCCTCATCGCTAGGTATGTTAATCCTCGTCCTAGTAGCTAAATGTTCTAAATTTTCAAGTAACCAATGTCCGACTCGTAACCTCTCCTCTCAATCTTTCCACGGGAACCCTACCGGCTGGAAGCCGATTCGGATTCGCCGCCTGGGCAATTCACACACCGCACTTACCATTCGATGGTCTTCGATACTACAAGCTTCGTCAGATTCCTGGGAATGAGAACAGGCACCAATTCGTCACCACTTCGCCGGAGTCTATGAACTTTGGGCATGGAAATCACGCTTGTCCAGGACGTTTTTTAGCCGCAAATGAGATTAAGATCGTGTTGATCGAGTTGTTGACGAAGTGGGAGTTTCGATTGAAGGGGGGGGAACGGCCCGAGAATATCATGAATGCAATGGTCTGTATGCCGAATCCGAGAGCGGAAGTGGAATTCAGAAGGAGGTAGATTACTTTTGGATGGAATAGGCTGCGCTGCTTCACTGGGCCCCGCGGGTGGGGTGGCCCTGTTCTACCTCTAGTCGAGACAGGGGTGCCGAATTTGTTTGAGTTGTATCCTTGTTGCGAATTAGTTAGTCCCATAAATACCTGTCGTTCAAAGCACAAGACCGACAACTTACCAGTGTCCCAAATCAACACATCCATTTTCCGCTCTATTTCACGCCCTCCTTCTGCTTCTCTAGAAAGAATGCCATCTTCCGTCAGTCCCGTCACAAGATCAACATTGTTATTGGTGAAGATAGGGTACCAGGTGTCAAGCTTCAATGGACGTTTGCATCCGAAGTGACTCTTCGATTCCAGCTTGCGTCGCAAATTGTCATCGCTAATCTGATTGTACAGATGATTTTTGGCCATGCCGACGACAAACTTCTGCCACCACGATCCGATGTGGAATATGCGCTTGGCCACGAAACCAAACTGAGAGGAGTGATTAGAGAGTTCAACAGACACCAGTAGATTGTATGGGATGACTTTACCTGTGCCATACCAAACCATCGGTAGCTACGTTGTACCAATGGAATGTGAGAGAACACTCACTTCCTGGACCCGCTTATGGAAACATCGTTACGAGGCAGACAATGTCCTGGACTTCGCTGGTACACCGTCAACTGCTTCACCTCAGGATAAATACTCGGAATGGCTTGTCCGGCGGATTGCCCGGTTCCAATGACTGCTACAGATTTGTTTTTTAAATCAGCGTCTTTTGGCCAACTTCCAAGATGCCATTGTTCGCCTTTGAATGTTTTGAGTCCTGCGATATCGGCCTTCTTAGGCATGCCAAATGGCTCCCGCAGCACTGACAAGCTGACACACGTTAATCTCTGCATATATAATAATTTCAAAAAGCTCAAGTAGCCTGGACAATGAAGCCATCCGATCTGCATTACAGCGATTTGGGAACGATAGTAGACTGGAGGCAGGTCCCGCAAGAAGAGAAATTTCACCTACCACATTACAGCACCATATTTTCTGAGAACTGCTCTTAGAGTCTTGAGTTTGAACAAACCACAATAGGCGTGAGTCGTCCCATGTGGCACTGACAATCTCTGTGTTGAAAGTCGTTGACTTGTCGAGCTGGTATTTCAGCGCAAACCCTTCGAAATATTGTTGGATCTCTGCTTGTGGAGCGTATGTCCTGAGTCTTTTTAGAGTATCGTTTGTTAGCCATCTAGGGATTCATGCCTAAGGCTAGACTTGAACTAAATGTGATATATGGAAATGTTGGCTGGACCGAAAATTGAAAATCAAACGAACTGATGCAATACTCATTACTGGGAATGTCGCATGCAGCCCCCGGATATGTATTGCTCCACCACACTCCACCAAACGACTCATTCCTGTCCAAAATGTGAAATTCTTCAAGTGGAAGGACATCTTCGCGCAGAAATGCGTATCCTTGTATTATGCCAGCCGCACCAGCGCCGAGAATGATCGCAAAACGCCGTTCGTCTGCTTGCATCGTACTGACGTCTGTTTTACTGTCTATTTGGGTAGAGAAGTGGTTTGGGTGCAGAGGAGTAGATTTTCGTTATAAAAGTGATCAAATTCGCTGATAGGGCAATTGATTGCGGATATCACCTTCATTGTCCTCTCAGGATCTATCTATCAGCCTGTATGTTGGTAAGCTTTGTTTACGCCGGAGACTTGGCGGCCATCGCTAAATCAAATCATTTCCGGCAGTCCGTTCCAGGTTGTTCGGCTTCCGGCCGGCTGAAGACTGCGGAGCGTTACCCTCGGCGCCGAGTAACAGCATCAGTAGTGAAACAGATCATTGTTGAAGCTGAAAATCACTGCTGGATGTGCATCCACGGCACAGTAGTCATATACCGAATACTGCTGCTATTTTCGCCTTCACCGTAAAATACTGTCGCAACATAACTTCCTCATGGGCATCAGAAACGATACTGCCAGCGACTAAAACATCACAACGCCACTTTTGACGAACGAATACAATTTCTTCTACCAAACAATTATTGTCAATAAAGTCGTTGCAGTCAGTGTTCGGTGACTTTGGGTTTGATCCTTCCTATCATTGTCGTCGATGACTCGGTCACCGGGCTGTGAAGTGCCAAGGGACCCCACTTGACGAAATGGTTGGAACTGCAGGAGTTTACAGAATCGTGTCCAATAAACTTCTAGCGGAGACTTGATGCTAACCCGATGGGCAAAGGTAGTGAGTATTAGTCAGGCACGAACGAGGTTTTGGGCTTTTGGTGTAGTTTATTTTAATGCCTATCTAGCTGGGCGAGCCCTCGCTTAATTGGAACTCGCCGTAGCTACCATGAAATATGGAAACCGGCGGTGAATGGAGAGTCGATCACTCATTGATGTCATGAAACGAGGAAAATAAGAATGTTGGGTGTACTCGCAGCGGGAAAACAAAGTAAGAAAGGATTTCTGCGTCAACGTGATCATTCCTGGATTCTTGACATTTTTGCTGTTTGTGTCTAGATAGACGCTTTGAGATTTATGACTTCATGGGACACTGGCGCAGGACTTGAGATGGATATCCCCTTTCGTGAACTTGGTAAGAGACAACCACTTTTGATTTTAAGCGGCTGTAAGGCAGTATTTTATTGTAGCTTACTTTAACCTCAGGTACTTTGGAACGCTTCTATATTGCTCGCAATAATCTCAAATTTTTCAACTCCAGCACTGTCACTGCCATCTACCAGCTCCCTGCCTCTCTATCTAAACAATCACTTCTTAATCTCCCATATTTCAAAGCGCTCATCTACAAATCCGTCGCCTTAACTATCCTTGCTCATCCTTTCCTCTCTGTCAGCATAGAGGGGGAATCTTCAGCAAACCCTCGATGGATCCATCTCTCAAGAATCAATCTCAGCAAGGTCGTTCAATTCGTCCATGTGAATCCAGAGAATGGGATTGAAACATTCATTGAAGAAGGTCTTCAGAGAGGGTTTGAGAATGAAGCGGAAGGCAAAGGTCCTCTCTGGAGGGTCTTCATGGCTTCTCCAGGGTTCACTGATGAAACCAACAGAGCTACTGCACCGGGAGACCAAGACATAATCAATTTGGCAGTTGGCTTCTTCTTCCACCACGCAATCTGCGACGGACTATCAGGCGCCAGTTTTCATAAAACTTTCCAATCACATCTCAACTCTCTCCTCGCGAGTGCCACTCTATCAGACTTTGGCTCGAAATGCGTGGATCCTACAACTATAGAAACACTATTGGAGGTGCCTAGGCAGCTCCTACCGCCAAATATGGAAGAAGCCATCAACCTAACTACATCCATCTCCTTCCTTCTTCGACGGCTCTTCTTGGCCGTTCTGTATCCTACAGACCGTCTAAAATGGACAGGTCCGCTCATCCCGCAGAACATCCCGCCTCGGCGACTGGCCCGCATAAAATCATTCTCTCTAGATTCTGAAGTAACAGAGAAGCTAGTCACGAGATGTCGAAAAGAGAAAACGACCATTACCGCACTTACGACTGTGCTACTGGCGAGAGAATCGGCGCAAATCTTTGCAACTGAGAAGTCTAGCAGGTTTGAGGTTCCAATCGCTATTTCAATGAGAAGGTTTGCTGTAGCGCATAGCGGTGTCACTGATGATACTATTGGCGTATATGTCTCGGCCGCAAAACCCATATTTTCTTGCGAGAACCCAACGCCAAGGGGGTATATTTCTTGTTGCTCTCCCTCATCGCCTGGGTTAGAAGGAAGTGACGAACAACTATGGGATTCCGCGCGTGAAACCAGACAATACATAGCAACGGCAACAAATTCTCCCGCAGATCAGGATATTGGGGCACTGAAGTTGGTCCGCGATTTCCAGAATTATTTCACTGGCTTACTTGGTGGAAAGAGGCAGAGTGCTTTTTTGCTTACGAATTTGGGGGTTGTTGAGGGCACTAGTGGTGATCGCGATCTCACTGCCAAGGCAACCCTTAGCAAGCTGTTCTTCGCGAACATGCCGTCAATGTATGATGGACCTCTTTTGCTTGCTATGGCGACAGTAAAAGGAGGAGATATGACTCTTTGTCTCGGCTCTGAAAGGGGCGTTATAAGGGAGGACCATGTCAATATTATTAGGAACAATTTGGAACATCGACTTAGAAGCATTGCGAATGAATAAGGTGGTGGTACCGAGTTATTTCAGCTGATTTCATAGAATAACGAGCCGGCGACAATGACCTGGGAGTTGCAGTGCAAATTTGGGCCTGGAGGTTAGCCGCATAAGGCGAGATCTCGTGACCCACCAGAAAAAAATAATCCACCAGCCGTAAAAAATGGAAGCTATAGCACTCAGCACCTGTAGAATTTGACCCCTCAAGTGTTGTGAATCATTCAGAAGATGCGTGAATCACTCAATTAGGCCCTGTTTTCAGAGGTGAATGCAGCAAGTGAATGTATTCAATCACGGCTCGAGAAGCTACATTGGGAAGCCATGAGATACAGCTATGTTTGCAATTGCGAGGCTACCGTTCTCAATCTATTATATTCTGCAATAGCCTCAGGGTCGGCCTTGATCGCATCGAAGTCCAGCTGCGTCAAAAAGACTCCTTCTAACGTTGTTGCTCGACTCAATCCTACAAATGCTTGCCCTTCAGAAAAGATACTCTTGTTCAGTACGAGGGTAATGGACGGCAAGGAAAGACCCTGCACTTTGTGGATCGTGAGAGCAAACGTGTTGATAATAGGCAGCTGCCACCGTCGGTATTCTGCTCCGTAAGATTGGAATGTTGAAGACGACCTGTGCAGCTGGAGCACCTAGTAACCGTTAGGTTCTAAACGTACAAGGGCAATGTATAGTGCAGGGGGTGGAGCCGTAGGTTCAAATTACAAAGTAGTTATACTTAAATTCCTTCTTAAGTAGGAAATGTAGCCTCGACATCATCGTTGTTCAAGTTATCTATTATAATATTAATAGACTTGTTAGAAATCTCTTTTTCTACTAATATACTATTAGTAAGGAATATAACTTTAATATTTATATTATAAATAACTTTGCTAAGAAAGTTAATCTTTTACTTGAATATTCTAAAGTATGATAATTCCGATTAAATTGTTATAATATTATATAAAGATATAATCTCCTTGAAAGTAAGTTAAATATTAAGTATATATGTTCACAATAAAGGAGCAGGCCAGTGGAATGCATGTATTATTGACTATATAGATTGATTGTACTAGGTAAAAACTAACTACTAAGTGGAAGTGATATATTAACAGTAGCTTAAGTGCACATACCACAACTTCCAATACTCCCCCAAAGAGCTTACTCTCTTAGCTTCAATAATTAGCTTTGAAGCCCCAGTATATTCTTGAATCTCTCGAATACCATTCTTGTATATAATTTTATTAATCCATCTACAGCCATATCACTCGTATTAACATAGCTGGTATTGACTAGGTGTTTTTCTGTGAGATCCCGAATGAAGTGATGATATATGTCAATATGCTTTGATTGCTTGTGTAGATGTGGGTTTTTGGTTAATGCTAGCACTCCTTGGTTATCTCCGAGCATTTGAACTCCGCCGTTGTTTCCGATGTATTGTGATCGTTCTAAGTCTCTCAAGAGTTGAGCTACCCATTGCCCTTGTTTGGTGAACATCGCCATGGAAATGTATTCGGCTTCTGTACTAGATATAGCTACAAATGTCTGCTTCTTGCTTGCCCATGAGATTGGTCCACCATAAAATATTACTATCCCATCAGAGATGCTTTTTCGATTGGTTTTATCGCTTGCCCAGTCTGTGTCGGTGTATACTTTGATGGTACATTATGGGAGGTTATATTCTTTGCAAATATCTGATTAAACTCCCCCAGGCCCAAAACGTAGCTTCTGTTTGATAATCGACCTCAAATATCTTATAAGGTTTTTGAGTGCAATGTTGTGGTGCTTGGCAGGATTAGACATAGCCTGTGCTAATCTCCCGAGACCAAATGCGATGTCCGGTCTTGTGTAAACCATGGGGTGGATTGTGCTGCCGATTGCTTGCTGGTATTCGTTTATATCAGTGAGCTCATCGTCCGGGAGTATCGGTTGTAATTGGTTGTAATCCGAGATTGATATCTTTTTGGGAGTGTGTTGATTATGGGAGATTCCGAATCGGGTAAGTATTGCATCCAGGTACTTTTCTTAATCCATAGTTAATATTCTCTCTAATCTGGTATGAATGATATGCACTTTTAAGATCTTACTAATCTCCCCCAGGTCTTTGGTGTTGAATCGAGTGGAAAGGTTGTGATAAAACCATTGAATATTTCGTTTTTGTGCAGCAGTAGTAACAATATCATCTACATATACTAAAAGAATTAGCTGTCGCAAGTGATTGGTGTATAAACACGGGTCTGCAAGGCTTTGCACGAAACCCATCTTGGTTAACTCTCCTTTCAGAAGAAGGCTCCAATCTCTACCAGCTTGCTTTAGCCCATAAAGACTCCGAAGTGCATGTAGAACACGGCCGCGACGAACATGGACACCTTGAGGG